AAAAAAAAAAGAAAAAAATTATATCGCGTGCGCGCAATTGTGTGTTTGCCTGTTAAACGTACGAGAAAATCCTCGCGCAATATCCTCGATACTCGAACATTTCCCCTCTAATTTGCCGAAGTAAATACGCGAACCATCACTTTGATATTTGCGCGAGCCCGCATCGCTTCCGAACTGTAGGCGAAAATATAAAGGTTGAGTTTTTTCGGTCCGTTAAAAGTCGACCCGTGGCAAGGGCCACATCTACACGTACACCTCTGGCTTCCTGTACGCGAGGTTGGTGTTTTTAATTTTTTTGAGCACTAGTTTTCCCCTGTCGACACTCTCTTTCTCTCTCCCTCTCTCTCTCTCTCTCTCTCTCTCTCTCTCTTTTTCTCTCGGCAACCACGTTTCGTGGCTCGGCCTCGCGATTTTCCAACTTTCGCACGCTCTCCTGTCGACGAAGCCGAGCGTTTGTTAACGCGTCGGTTATAATATCAAAGCACCTGGCGTGCATGCCTTTTCCATTTGCACCCCGGTCTCTTTGACGGATTTTCTTTTGATTCGATACGGATGCCGTTGGAACGCGCTTTACCCCCTTACCTCGCTGAAACTCGTACCAACGACCTTTGCGTTCCTAGCACGCAAGCACGAAATCTTTTTACGTTTCACAGCTTAGTGGTATTACAAGGCTACGGTCGTTTCATCACCAGTGTCTTCACTGGATCCACAAAGTACTCGTTTAAAGATTTGCCTGCTTTTCCTCTCTTAAGAGATCCGTGATTTCAACTTTCGGACCTTTGCGCCTTTGCGATCTCGAAATTAGAATTGAAGTTTAGAAATGAACGTTTGCTCTTTTTTAGTGGCAAGAGATCATTAGCAAGTATGTATCAATCTCGAAGTGTTCTTCTTGATTAAAAGTTAAAAATTTTGTTATCTCTTAGCGTTATGTGTAAAATCGATAAAAGATATAATAGATGTTACGTGAAGAACGGTATATAAAATGCATCGATGATTCCAGGATCAAAAATAAGAGTTCTGTTCGTTTCTACGCTCGCCGATATTAAAAGTCTCCCTTTTGTGTATCTAGTCGCATTGTACGCGTTGTAGGAGAGGGTGTAGAACCGAGATCGAATGTTCTCCCAATGGGTCACAGGGAATCTCTGCTTTCAGCGTGAGATAGTAGAAAAAATTTGTTCTTACGAATTCTTGTCGTATCTGGAGGGCTCACCGTAGGGGAGAAAAGGGTGAGAAGTGACTTTTCGAAGGTGTGCCATTAATTTCTAGAGGAATGAAAACTAAAGCCCCGCTGCGTGCGGTGCGAATGCTCTTGTGGCAACGGAGCTTCCTGACGAAGTCAATTAAGCCCTTTTGTAACAAGAAACACTGCCAGAAGTAGTAGCGAAGATGACGAAAGGCGAAGTGGTGGGTGTTCGTTAGAAGGATCATGCACTCGCAGCACATTTCAAAGAAGAGCACGATTCAAAGCAGTGCTCTTCTTTCATTATCTTCTCTTCCCTGTAATTATCGTATGCCATGGTAATTATCGTTCGAAATCAATACTACGCCACACTGTTTCCGATTTCCCCAGATGCAAAAACTTCACAGCTGCGAAGAGAATCGGTACGCCTGGAAATCCAACATCTGTGCGTATGCCACACGCCCATCCGGAGACATTCCGACAATTCATCCACTATATATACACTGGCAAGGTAAATGATGTCACGAGCAGATTCAGAATTTATAGCGTGTTTCGGACGTGGAAGAAACCATCGAAGAAAGTTTTACGTTGACCTAACGGCATGGCTGAGTTTTGCCCCTAACTGTTTCATAGATCATGCTACAAGACAGTGGCATCTTCGAAATGTTGGGACTTGCTCAAGAACTGGGAGTCGAAGAACTTTGGAGAAGTTGCGAGGAACATGTCTCCGCTACTCTCAGCCCAGGAAACGCGTGTGCTCTTTTGACTGCGGCTCTGGATGCCCAGGAGCGAGTACCCGGTGAGTTGTTCATGACTATTGTTAACATAACTACTGTTAAAAGTTTGCCTATCGAACGTACTTCGTTCTTGAGTTTGCTGAATATCTCGAGTGATAGAAAATAAAACAACAATTCTAATCTATAATGATTGGTAAATGTACGTTTTGAAAATGAAAAATGTAAAATGTTTAATCGAAATATATATAAAACAATTTCCTAATAATTAAAGATATAAAAATATGATGAATAATATTCAAATAATATATTTTTATAATACCATGTCCAATTAAAGAAGCAACGTATGGCTCAATTTTATATATTAGATAAAGAAATAAATTAAAACGAATGTTTTTTATTTAAAAAATCATAGTTCGCATATTCACATGGTAATTACATGACTAGTTATCGGCCGTGCTCCCCGTTGTGTAATTGACGTGTCTGCCACCGAGGCAGCACTACATAGGGAATTTTATTACCTCAATCTTCTATTTTATCCCTATGTTTAAATCTCCCTAGATATCTTTAATATTAATGTATTAAACATTTTAAACCTTTCCGGTTTATAATTTCTGGGTCATATTATAATTTCTTCAGTCAAAATTTGATTGAAATAACTCAATCTTGAGTCATTAGTTCAATCAAACGAAAGAGATAGGGAAAAATGAAGACTTACAGTTGGTACAACCATGACGCCACATTTTCCGGCGTTTGGACATTGCCAAGCACGCGTTTATCAAACGTTACTTATTAATTTTTGAAAATACATCACAAAAATGTCGTACAAAGGACCACAAAAAGTTCAAAAGGTGATGGTACAGCCCATCAACCTTATATTTCGATACCTCCAAAATCGTTCACGCGTGCAAGTGTGGTTATTCGAGAACATCAATCTACGAATCGAGGGTCACATTGTTGGATTCGACGAATATATGAATTTAGTACTAGACGATGCAGAGGAGTATCATATGAAGACGAAAAACAGAAAACCACTTGGACGAATTATGTTAAAAGGCGATAATATAACATTAATACAAAATACAAATCCAGGAGCAAA